CGTCGCCACGGAGCAGGCAGCTGCGGGATTGAATGGGCGGCGGATCACAGGCGTTGCGCCCCTCAGCTGCGCGGCCGTCGCGGCTGCAACAGGGGACAATTTCCTGACGATTTCTTATTCGAGGGGGCCTGAGTCGGTGCCGCACAAGCGCATGCGGATCCTTGTGGCTGGGCAACCTGGCATGCTCCCTGTACCACCCTGGCCCGTGGCTGGCCCCAGCGCACCTGGCCGCGGAATTGCTGATACCAAGGCTGCAAAAACGGGGCCAGTTGGATGGGGGGGGGCGATGGTGGATCGGGGGTGTGTGGAGAAGGGTGGACGGAAGGCGAGCCTGATGAAGGCGGGTTGCAACCTCTGGCGTTGGCGTGGCAGCGCGGCCTCGTGGCAAAAGAGAAGGGGCCTCTACCTAGACGGGTGGTCCGACAGCTGGCCACAGGAAATTGCCGCGCGCGCTCCCAGCACCAGCCTCCAAGGCTCGGCCAGGCAGGCGCCCAGGGTCGGTCGCGCGTGGCTCACGCGGCAGCTGTGATCAATAACATGGTTCAGTGCAGGGATGATGCCCCGCATAAGCCTCCGTGCTGAACGCACCCAGCCCTGAGTGCAGCTGGGACGGGTAGTCGGGCGTCGCCGACGCCGCGAGCAGCCGGCCCGCCTGCGCCAGCCGCGTCAGGCGCGCCGTCCTGCCGCCAGACAGAACATCGCACGCCACCTAGCCGGCAATAGATGAGGGCGCGTTGGCGTGCGCATGTGTGTGTGTGTGTGTGTGTGTGTTCGCGTGTGCGTGTGCGTGTGCAAGATGTGCGTGTGGGTGCGTGTGCTAAGTGCAAATGCATGTGTGTGTCCAAAGTGTGTGCGCGTGTGTGTGTGAGATGTGTGTGCGCATGTGTGCGTGCGTGTGCGTGCGTGCGAGTGTGTGCGTGCGTGCGAGAGTGTGTGTGTGTGTATGTGTGTGTGTGTGTGTGTGTCAGAGAGTGCGGCTGCGTTGGTGCGGGATCTGTGCAGATACTCCATGGTTTGGCTCTTCTCCAAGGGGAGCGATGAGGAATGCCCGGTTCCTCGGCAGCGAGGCGTGCTGGGGTGCTGGTACAAGCGACGCCGCAGCATGAGGTGTGTGCAACCCGGTAGCCAAACGCCCACCTCTAGCGCGGCCCCGGAGCGCCCAGGGACGAGCAGGGAGGGGCGGTAGTAACCGGTCAGCGCCAGCGGCCCCGCGCGCGACGACGTCGCGTAGTCCAGAGCCGGCGCCCCCACCGCCGCCGCCGCCGAGGCGCTGCCACTGACTAGAATGGCGGAACCCGCTGCAGCGGCGGCGGCGGCCGGGCGGGCGCTCGGCTCGCGTGCAAGGTCGGAGGGTGACGGCGCGACGGCGGCCGCGCCCTGCGGCGCCTCCCAGGCCCCGAAGTAGCGCTCCGCCAGCGCCCGTACGCGCTCGGGCTCGGCCGCGCCGGCGATGGCGACAGTGAGGTTCGCTGGATGGTAGTATCTGGGCAGAAGGGGGGGGTGGTGCGTGGGGTATCGGCCCCCAACATTATGATGGGTTCGTCTCGGCGCAGAGCAGCAGCAAGGTTCGGGGTAAGCGGATGGGCCGCAAGTGGAAAGCCTGACCTCAATTGTGCGCATAACTTGCAATCAACTACAGATTGGATTAGACTTGCACGCGCGCACACACACACACACACACACACACACACACACACACACACGCTATGCATTGCACCAACTTGTCTGGTATGTGATGTGCATGTGTGTGCATGCCAATCGACTAGAGGTACCCTATCAGTCATTACATTGCATTGCATACCCGTCTGTGCATCCCGCGCCCTACTTGGCAAAGAAGTCCGCCACCTCCAGCCTCCCCATTGCCTCCACATCCTCCTTGAACCCCAGGACTGGGCGGCTGTACTGGTTGCTCAGGGACTTCACATATATGTGTGGGTGTATGCGTGCGTGCCAATGTATGTGTGTGTGTGATGTGTGTGTGTGAAGTGTGTAGATGTGTTGGTGCGGGCTGGTGGGTGCATGCGGTGAGGCAAGATGGGTGTACAGGCACGGGACAAACGCGTGCCTGTAGAGGATGGAGAACGCCCCCAAGGCCTGACGTGTCGCGGCAAAATCAGACCGCCCTGCATCCCATACGGCGCGCAGCGTGCACGCGTGCCCTGCTTCCCGGGAGGCAGACGGCCCGCGGTGCGCAGGCGGAGCGCCCGCGCCGGCCCCGAGTCGACCCCGGGGCTCGGCGCTCGCGCGCCCTGCAGCGCACACCTTCTGGGCAAACTCGTAGAACAGCGATCCAATGGGGCTGTTGTCTATCCTGGAGGCGCGCTCCTCCGCCACCACCTGCTTCTCCTTGTAGAGCTCCCTGGCCACCGGGGGAGGGGGAGGGGGAGAGGGGTGATTGTGAGGGGCCTTTGGGGTGCCCAGAACTCCCTGATGGTGGGGAGTAACGGGTCAAAGCTGGGTGTGTTTTGAGGGTTGGCGGGCGGCGCAGAGTGCGGGGAGCGGGCCGCGCGGCTGCTAGGTTGGCGCGACGCATGCAGAGGCGCGCCAGGGCAGGGCTCCTCATGCTGACGAGCTCCGCCGTGCGGCGTTCGGCGCTGGCCGCTTGAAATAGCGATTGTATAAAAATGAACTTGCAATCAAGCCTGTGCCAGCACACCTGAACACCGGGGCCTGGAAGCGCTCCGCCTCCAGGGCAAACCACAGCTCCAGCTGGTTTGATGGCAGACTGGCGTAGTACTTGCTGGGGTTGGGAGGGACCGAGGAGTGTGTGTGTGTGTGTGTGTGTGTGTGTGTGTGTGTGTGTGTGTGTGCGCGCGTGCGTGTGAGTGTACGCGTGTGTGTTTGAGTGTGTGTGCCTGGGAATACTACATTTATACATGAAGGGAGATACGCACGAGTACACAGTGAGAGAGACTGTGTGTGCATGTGCCTGCTTGTAGATGTGTTGCATGCACACTCGCACACAATAACGTACATGCAATTTCGGTTTTGTCAAGATGGTGGTGGGGAAGTCTGTGGTGGTTTTTTTCCCGGGAGGACATGCGACAAAATCACATAATTGCATTCTACAACTTGTGCAGCACTTGCTGTGACGAAAGGAGAAGCCCTGCAGCACCGCGCGGCACACACAGAGGCGCACAAAACCGTCTTGAACAGGACACTAGACACGGACATGCAGCTGGAGGCCGCGCGTGCTGTATGTCAGGAGCTCACGTGTTGTCGTGGCTGGTTGCGGCGTTGAGGTTGACCGCGCCCGCTGACGTCAGCGCCTGGCGGGGTCACGCGGCACGATCGCAGGGACTGGGTTGTGGGGGCGTCTGTACTTTGTTGAAGGCACTGCTCAATGCGTAGATATAGCAAAAGGCCCAATGCAATCGCCAAAGGAAGGGCCCGCATGCATCACCCCTTGCAGCCACGCCCCTGCCCCCCTAGGTCGGCGTTGTTGCACAGGGGTCGCAGCCCCTGAACACCCCGTCCCTCCCCGACCCTGCCTTGGGTGAGAATGTCTACCTGAGCAAATGCGTTGGGCACTACCAGCTGTTGCGCAGCTTCCTAGGGGTGGTGGTGAGGTTTGAACGGCCCAGGTCGTGGGACACATGCCTTGTGTGCTGATCACCGTGTGCATGCCGAGCAGGGGCCGGTGGCGCCCGGGACGGGTTACGGCACTGCCACAGGGACTATCACTGGCGTATGGAGCTGGTGTTGAAAGGTGCCAACTTTGTGCCTGACCCGTGCGCGTGCATTCAGGCTCAATCGTTGCCCCCTGCTCAAGAGCATACCGCTGCAATGTGCGCCGTTCGCTGCGCATCATTCCGCCCCGCCAAACCCCCTCCCCGGACCCACCTGCAACACATTGAGCTGCTCAGCCAGTCGGGCAGCCTCCGCTTCACGGCCCGCCGCCCGCGCATCCCGCAGGTTGTAGAACACTGGGTGGGTGCAGAGGCCGGGTTTTGTCAGGGCAAGGCACGGGCCAGAAACAGGAAATACAGCGGGAGCCCGCTAACCCCTGCGTGCGTCTGTGCGCAGCCCTACTGCCGCCGAGCTTTGCTACAGTCCGGCCACCGCCCTCGCGCCCTGCGCTCTCAGCCGCGCAGCGGACCACCCGGCCCTTGCATCCGCGCTTTGCTGACCGCCTCCTACGCTCCTCGCCCCCCCCCCCATACACACAAACACACGCAAACTGTAACCGCGCATCCGCAAACTTGCATCTGTACTGCTGTGCGGTCCGCCCACATACACCCTGACACACACAGGCTCACCCTCATCGAGTGACCGCAGCAGGCCGCTCTCTGCCCCCCAGTCTTTGGATCCGATTCTTGGGGTGCCCTTGAACGCGAGGTGCTCCAAAAGATGCGCCATGCCTGCAAATATCATCGAGGACGCTTTCGGCGGCTGCCGCAACGGGCAGGACAATGCGACTGCCCCGACAGCGGCGCTGCTACGGAAGCAATGGCGGACTCGATCCCCGGCGCTGCGACAACACACGAGCAGGTCGTGCCGGTATGCACTCTGCGCCTGCCCGGCGCGCACCTGTCTGCCCGTCTTCCTCCACCCAGGCCCCGACGGAGCAGTACGTGTTGATGCTGACCACCGGCGCCGCCGGCCGCTGCACCACCACAAACGTCATCCCGTTTGGGAGGCGGAACCGAGCAACCCTCTGCTCTAGCTGCTGCTCGAGCCGGCGTGACACATCAGCCGCTGGGGCTGCGGTCACGAGCTCCGCCGCTGCTGCGAGGCTGGGGCCTGACATCCCACCCGCCAGCAGGGCCGCGCCGCTGCCGAGGAGGAGGCTCCGGCGCACAGCAGCGCATTGAGTCGCGCGCCGTGGGCGGTGAGGCGGTCCACTGCAATTGCCCAAAGGATGGGATCTCGCATGCGTAGCCATTGTCTCTAGATGGCAATCTGCATCAAAATCCCTGCAAAGGAAGCAAGAAGAACCGCGCCAGATCGCACGCAGTTGCTAAGCAGTACTGTTGCTCATAAAGCGACGCAATGTACAAAAAGTAGACGCGGCCGAGCATATAAAATCGACGCGGCTGCTGCTGAGTGCTTGTGCCGCTCGACGCTGCACGTGTGCTGGTCACCGCGGTGACAGTCCCGGGTCTCACCTGCGTCACGCACCTCAATTAGGGCAACCAGGCCGGGTTCGATGCGATATGAGCCCTCCACCCGCCAATGTGATTGGATGTGGTGTCGTGGGCGCGATTGTGAGATGATGTGCTTGTTTCAACCCACACAAGCGGCTTGAAGAAATGGATGTTTGACCAGAGCTTTGAGGTGTACATTGGCGCAAGCAACCTGCAGTGCATCTAGAATCAGGATGTGCCTGCCAATGCTGACTATATTTTTTCCCAGGACGCGCTTGCACGAGCCTGAACGCGCGGAGTTGCCAGATGTGTTGTGGTAGTCATCACGCCCCCAAACCAGCCTGCGCTGCCTGCTGGGGTGGTGCTGCGCCGGCGCTCTGCTCCTCGGCGCCTACCGGCTCTCTTGCTACAAAAAGTAGCAGACCAGTACTACCCACCATGGGTACCAAATCTGCATTGCATCCCGGGCATCTGGGTAACATGGACTTTGGGGAGCTTGTTCGCCCTGTAATGTGGCCCGTGTCCAATCATACAGCGCTTGGCGTTGCGGACACGATGAGCTGCATATGCCGCAGGCACCTTGCTCACAAGAAGGGACCCGTTGCAAACCGGCAAAGACGGGAGGCACAATCTATGTGTAGGTCATCTTCCAACAAAAAAGCATATGAAGTAACGGTCAAACATCGAGAGAGACGTCAGTGGGGAAAGCAAACCAAGGGAGGACGAAGAAGAATGCGCCATTGTGCGCGGTGCGCCGCTCACCCCGCGCGCCCCTTCAAACACTCCGACGTGCAGCGCTTCAGGCACGACTCGTTCCAGGCGGGCACTTGGTGGGGTATGGAGCAGACGGACCGCTGGCACGCCTCGACGCACGCGTCGTTAGCTGCAATTGCGAGGGGGCAACAAGTACGTTGACGACGGATCTGACGTATGCTTGCAGCAGAATCGTATGGGCGCATTTTCACACTGCCTCACAGCATCCCTATATATTCTGCCACGTCTGGAGGGGGAGTTTCGGGACCTCGCAGTCAGATATGCGTGCTCTGCTGCTCCAAGAGAGCCGCGCGGGTCCCCTGCTGCGGTGTAACTCAACGTCTGCAGCTGCGGCCTCCTGCGCACGAGCCGCCCCGCACCTGACACGCCGCACACTGTGATGCACGAGTTGCGCGTGGGGTCCTGCGGGAGGGGTTGCAACGGGCGCCCAGCCGCTCAAGATGCGAGCCGTCGGCGTTGCGTGCCCGCAGTAATGCTGACCCTGGCAGTGAAGATTCCCCTCCCATCAAACCTTCGCCCATGTCGTCGCAGGCATGCAATCCCTGAGCACGGGACTCTAAGCTGTTGCCACAGCGCCCCTGGTCGTGCCATGCATGCTTGCACGACATCCGCATGGTTCCGGACGAGTCACCGCACCTTAGCGAGCTTGCCAAGCCGCCGCAACAGGCGGTCCGAAGTGCACACGCGCTCGCACACAAAGCCAGTCTCCCCGCCCATGTCCTCTGCGCCGCTGCGGGTTCAGACGTGGGGGCATGCAAGGCGTTGGCTGGGCTGCGCAAAAGCAGGCGGAGTTGCGGCAACCCGCCGCAGCTGCGCAGTGTCAGTGCACAGCAGCTGCCCTTGCCTGTCGGTGTCTAAGGGATGGCGTGAGCGCGCGCTGAGGATACCCTTCACGACTACTATAGGCACTGCCACCACAGCTGCTGCGAACGGCTGCCAGAGCGGCATACTTGATCTGGTTCGCCGGACGCGTGTTCAGCCAAAAGATCCGTGCGATTGTGATTGAATGATGGTGTTAAAGCCATGTGTGTGATGCTACCATGTGTCCCAAGCTCATAGAGCGCTGCGTTGCGCGACAGGTGCCCCCGTGATCCTCCGCGCGGCTTCTGGGCACGCACATCAACGAAAAAAGCAGGTCGAACCACTGCAAACCACTGCGATGTAGGCAATGTGATGATGCAGAGCTGCAAAGAAGCACGGCTGGTCAACAGCCACCTTGGTGGCGTCGCATACTGCAGCAGCTCAGCAGCAGCTTGCAGATCATCTGCATGTTGGGGTGCACTGTTCCGGCCCATAAATGGTGACGCCACTGCACTGTCAAATTCCATACCATCAAAGACTTTGGGAACCGACGTGGCCAGCCGGCAACCGACAACTTCACAGCATGCACGCCTTCGGTTCTGGACATGTTGGTCCCTGTGACCCTTTCCCACCGCCTTGTCCTGATAATTGCTGCTTCTACTAGGGTGTGTGCGTGGGAGGCGAATGTGTCACAGGGTTGTGCTGGGCGCGGCGATAGCGTTCTGGATGGAAGGCAGAAATCTGAATGTCCCGTATCGTTTCCTGCAAGAATCGCAAGTGATGGGAGCCTCAGCGTGATTGTGGCTGTAATTATGAGGATGAAATAAACCACAAGTATCCGCAACTACCTTGGAGTCGTGGTTGGCCGTCACCGTCCCACAGAGGGTGCGAAGGCGCAAGCGAGCAGCAAGCTCACTGCTCGATTTGAGTGGGGTATTCCTACCACACCCGTTCGACCGGAACTTGTAGCACGACTACCCGAGCGTGACAGCGAGTCAATTGAACAACATCAGTACATGAACAAGTTCTTTTCCAACATTGGAGTCGTCGCAGGCCGTCACTGTCTCACCAGCTCGTGCAGTTACGAGTGAGTGCAGCAGGGTGTCGAGGGTAAGGCGGTCTCGCTCCCTGTACGCGTGTGCAAACCAAGAGGATTCCAGAAACGCTCACAGAGGTGTCAAAGGCTCCAAGCAGCGTGGCCACAGGGCCGCAGCACGAGTTGACGACCATAAGACCAGCGTACTCATGAGGTGCGCATCCGCCGAGAACAATTAGCGAAGCGGAGGGGCCGAGGGCGGGCGCCGTCGAGGCGAACACGAGACAACATTTTAATATCAAGGTGGAGCGCACGAGTTATGGCAGTGGGAGCTGCAAGCGGCTCAACATGCCAGCATCATTGCCGTGGCCTGCCAGTCCACGGTGTGAGAGGCAGAAGGAACCCGATGACGAGTGCCTCCATGGCCTAGACGACAGTCGCACGCATCCGCCGTGCAGACGCCACCCTAACTTTCAAATTAAAGGTAACTTGGCTGCAAATTACAGGCAGTTATGCTTACGCAATGATCAGGTTTTTTTTCGTGTTAGTCATCGAGTGCCATGTGCTCACCCGTCAATTTCGCGGGTGCGAAAGCTTTTCATGCTTACTCGCTTGAGCATCTCTGTTTATTTTCTACAAACACTTGCATCTGCTCCTGGCAGTAAAACGGTGACCGCCGACTACGACTCCAAGGTAGTTGAGGTAGATATCCATGTTATGGAGATGATATCCCATGTCACAAGTCGCACATGGGCCCGGCAGCGGAATGGATGGACCGTTGCGCGACGTATCTGCACTTACGGCACGGATTCGATCGATTTCGCGTGTGCGCCACAACACGCGGCTGACAGGTTTGGGAGTGCTCGAGTCGTCCCGATCGGCCAAAGCTCGCCGTCTGCGGAAGGGCTTCGCAGTCAGTGGTGGCCGCCCGTCAGACAGCTGGAGGGGCCTTCAAGTGAGTCTCGAGCTGTGTAGCGATCCCTTGCCCGCCCTTCAGGCAGCTGGGTTGGATCCTGCGAGGGGGGGGGGGTGGTCATCACGCTTGTCGCGTCCAGGCGGGCGCCCTGGTCCTGTCCTAGCCAGCAGCTCCTACCTGGTGACAAAGTGTGAGCTTCGCCCACACAAACACCACTTGTGACTGGATGTGCAATGCTTGGACCCAGGTGATCAGAAGCCTTACTTGCAGGATATAATTCGCAAAAGGTTGCTGGGCGCTGCAACCGCAGCGCGGTCAGTGCGTCCAGGACCAAGATGCTGCTCAGTCCCACCTTTTCTGTGCTCCCGTGGCCCACCATGCAGTGCCCATCCGCCGCGACACTGGGATGGCGTCCACGCTGTCAACCCACACGTGCGTGGCAAGCCTCGCCGCTGCCATGCTCCTAGTTTCGCTGCCCCTCGATGCTGTCGCCCAAAGTGCAACAAACCAGTGCAACATAAACTCGTGCACACTCAGCAACATCTCCCCCACCCGGTGAGGCGCCACTGAATTGCAATTGGACATTACTTGTCAAGAATTTGTGCTTGGTTTTCCTGCTGTTGTTCAGTGAGTGTCTTTGAAAGGTCATGTCGACCGCCGTTGCTAAAGCAACGGTGCCGTTGATTCACTAGTCACCCAGTCAAGCAAACCTATGTGAATTGAGCTGTCGGAGGTGCCCGTGCCATGTGTTGCCCACTCGCCACCCTCCTCTCTGACTGGCACGCGTGTGACTCGCATGCAGGCCGTCCCTCGCGGCATCGTCCCCCTACTCCGGCTCCAATGCTGCGAGCGGGTCCGCCTTCACGCTCACGGCCATCAAGGACGGCCTCGGCGTTGTCGGCGCCGCCGGCGACCGTGAGCCTTGGACGACCTCGCAGCGAGCCGCCCCTGTGCTGACGCCCTGCCATGCCACCAGCCCCAGATCTTGACCGTGCATGAAGCTGTACAGCGCGCCTCGTAATCTAGACTGGCGCATGCAGTCGCCAACGCCCGTCCCGCGCGCATCTGGCCGTAGTGATCCCCCTTGTGAGCACTCTGGCGAACGTTGGGGTGGCCATCATCAACGGGTGAGCTGCAGGCATCGCGACGCGCTCCAGGACAAAGTGAAGTGCAACAATCAGGCTTGGGGCTAGCTGCACGCGCGTGCCGCTGCGCGCGCGCGTCCCACTCATGCCAGTGGCGATGGCCCTGGCCTCACATGTCAGTGCCCTACTGGGCCAGCTGCCCCTGGCAACATGTCTGTCAGTGCCTCCTCGTTGCCCGCACAACCCGCTTCACTCCCTTAAGCTGGGTGACCCTGGGTCTTTCCTGCGTGCGCCCAACGCCGTGTGGGACCTCGCCCCTTTCTTGCTGCGCCTCGCACGCGCCGCGGCCCCAGATATCAGGACTACCAGAGTGCGACCGCACCCGGAGCCCCCAGCGTCGCTGACGTGGTGGGCCAGCAGATTCAGCAGCAGTCCCAGTGGCTGCGCTTTCAGCTGCAGCAGGACATGGCCCAGAGCAACGACTTCCTCGTGTGCCAGGTGCGCGGCTGGCAGCCCTAAATGATTGATAGCCCCTGGTCCTACGCACGCGCGGGGTTCATCGCTTTGAACCCTTCGCGCGTCACTTGCTTTGCTGCCCTGTGCGCCCGCCGCCTTTCACACGCCTGCCCGCCCTTGCTGCCGCCTTTCACAGCTGCAATCCGCAATCGGAGGCCTCTACAACAACATCGTGACCTGGCTGGACAAGCAGGCAAGCTGTGCGGCAGGAGTTGGACATGACAAAAGCTCAGCAGCCGCGCGGGGTTGAAGGGCGCTTGCAGATATCCCTTGCCGCATCTGCGTGTGCGCACACTCCTGATGCACAACGCAGCTTGTTGATCTGACGCGCACCCCCACCTGCACGACCTTTCCTCTGCTATGGTTCCCAGACGCTCACCCAGTTCAACCAGGGGCTCGGCAACATCCAACAAAACATTATGGGGTCCTGCCACGCCTGGTGAGTGCCTAACGCAGGCCGGGTATATAGGTTGCAGCCAGCCTGTAAACAGTGGCGCTATGGTGCCGCACAAGGCTGTAAGTCAGGCTTCTTCTACATGAAGGTTGCACATTGCCCGCGTTGCTAAGCCTTCAGGCAACTGGCACCTCCTGCGTCCACCCTGCCAGCCGGTCGTTGCCAAAATGAGCCTGCGCCCACCCATACCCACCTCTTCGCAGGAACTGCGCCAACTACACCAACATCGCGCCCAGCGTGCGCCAGACCATGGGCTGCGCGACGGGCCGCACGCCCCAGCTTGTCAACAACAAGAACCCGTGCGCCGGCGTGACCTGGACAGCCGCAAAGCCCACCGCCTGCACGTTCATCGGCTCCGACGCCGGAGGCAACGCGATTGTCGTGCCGGGGGTGTGCGACACGGGCGCCGGGGCCCAGGCGCTGTGCTACTCCACACGGACGCTCGACACCAACGCCCAGGAGATCAAGGCCAACATCATCCCCTTGTGTGAGCAATCCCCCCTCCCGTCCCCCTGCTGGTCCGGCAAGGGATCCTGATCAACTCTGCATTCCTGTCCTGCCCTCCAGCTTCCGGCTGCCGATGAATGACATAACATGGCTTGCCACGCTGCACAACGGCCTCGCCACTCTTGAGTTGCAGTCAACAAAGACGCCATCAACCTGGGAAACACGCTGAGTACTTTCAGCTCCGCAGACGCCGCAATCGCCCTGTCCAAGATGGGTGAGCACCTGCAAGTCAGCGGGGCGGGGGAGAACAGCGGCTCGGCCGGGAGTCTGTGCAGCAGTTGCGGCTGCAGCCACGTGCTCATCACGCCTGCCGATTGCTGCTGGCAGCTGGTCACTCATCACCACCGTACGACTTGCTGCGCCACACACAACACAGGCATTCTTTACGCGTCAATGATGAACGAGCTCATTCTACTGGGCAGCAATGGGGGCGAATGGGGCAAACTCCAGTCCCTTGCATCAACGCTAGGCGCTCGGTATGCTGAAAAGCTCAGTGCACGGGTTACTTCGCTGCTGCGCCTGCGTTGGTCGCTGAACCCAGCACGTGGTAGCTGCAGCACACGGCCGCCTCAGCGCGCAGTCGCACCTGCAGAAATCATTGATGGACGACGTTGAGTGACACAAATGCTTAGGCCGCCGTCTCTGCTGATTCAAGCCTCATGCCAGCTTCCATTGTGCACGCCACTCACAGGCTCACGAAGATCTACAACGACCTGATTGGCAACACCAACACTGTGGTCGATGCGTTGTCGTATGCTGCGATCGCCGCCGACGACGCGGGCTTGCCCATGAGTTATGAGGTCAAGGGCAAAACCTCGCAGCTCCTGTGAGCGTGCAGGGCCAGGGCACCGCGGTGTACAGGAGACCCAGCAGCCTTGCCGCAAGTTGCCAGCACGCACGCAAGCTGTTGACGGCAATCGTGGGATCGCAGACGGATTAGCGATGACAAGGGCTGTTTGCGCATGTGGGTGGACAAAAGAGAGCTGAGTAACAATTGCCACCTGCCTTGCCCCGCTGTCTCTATCTGCTGTGTGCCGCAGGGTGCCCCCGAGCCTTGGCGACTGCTCGAAGCCCGCGGCCCAAGCGTATTGCGCCTCAAGCGACGCCTCAATCTCTTGGGCGTACCCCATCAAGCAGAGCGTGACCTATGGAGGGGCTTCGCTCTCCGTTGACACAGGCACCATCTCTGTGGGGATGGCATGCAACGCCCCCGCGACACCCGCCTTTGGACGTGGAACAAACAACCCTGCAGGTGATCACGATAGATGCATGCAGCTGCACATGCTGCTCTGTTGCCTGCATGTTTTCGCAAGCCGTGGCCTTGGCAACCCATGCATCAAAACTACACACAATCGGCGACTAAACGTTATTCTTCCCACTCTTGGCGTAATGAACAGGCTCGACGTCTGGCACCTCCATCTCCACATATGCCCTCAACTGCTCGACGCCCGCGTACGCCCCGGTGACCTTCCCTTGCACCCCTTCTGCCAACACCGCCGACAACCTGTGTGCTGGCAGCACCGACTTCAAGACCAGCCCGTGCGTCGCTGACTGGCGATTCTACGTCTACACCGCCGCCGCTGCCGCCGCCAGGGCGATGAACGTCCCGGGCCCCTACCCCTCCGCCGGCCTCGGCAAGCCGGGCTGGGCGAGCTGGGCGTTCAAGATCCTCAAGCAGCGCGCCGCCGCCAACCTGGCGGCGAACCTCACCCAGACCCTCGCGGACGTGAAGAAGGCCGCTGACGCATTCAACGCGATCGCCTCGATGGACCAGCCCCCGACCATGTCCAATGCGTACGTTGCCAAACTGAGGTTCTTCCCCCTGTCTCGCTGCGGCTTGGACGGCACGGTGCGCGCCCGCGGGGCGACTGCACCAGATTTGCTTGCAGGGCTCAGCTGGGGGTTGTCTCTCCTTTGGGTCAAAAGGCACTGAACGTGGCCATTTGCGGTGCGGCCACCATCACGGCCACGCCTGGCTTGAAAGACTGCTATTCTGCAATTCACTTGTTCGTCGTGATGCTGCTGCTGACCTTGATATCCCCAAACCTACGGTCATTTTGGCAGAATTTCAACATGACCAGCGGCTTCAAACCAGCGACCCCGACCACCAGCGCCATGATGACCGGCCGGCGCCTGCTGGCCGACCCAAAGGTGACGGCGCCGGCCGCTGCCCCGTACCAGTGCGTTGCTGGCACCGGCAAGAAACACGGCCGCACCGTGAAGATGTACAACTCAACGGCGGCTCTGGACACCAAGTGGTGAGTTCACCTTCGGAAGGGCGTTGAAAACGTTGGGATTGCACGGCGTCGCGCATGAGCTCCCCGCTTTGCAGCAGGATCCAACGGCATCGTCTTGCTGTGTGCGCGCCTCGCTCGCAGGCATCCCCTCTGCAAAGAAGGCCACTACCTCGGCCCGGACGGCTGCTGCTACGAGTGCCCGCTTGGAACGGTGAGCGATGGCGGGGAGCGCGCGGTCGGGGGCGGGGCATGCTCCAGCGTTCGCATGGCAGCAAAACACAATCGGAGGAACACTATGCGGCGGCTGATGGTTTGAGGGGCGCACAAAAAGCGACTTCAACACCTCATTGCAGGGTTGATAACTGGTTTACCTGCGTGCCAATGCTGCGACTGCGCTAATGTATTCGTGTGCAATCCGGATCCCCGCAGTTCAAGGCCTCGACAGGCACGTGGCATGAGTGCGCGAGGTGCCCAAGCGGAAAGAGCACCAAGCGCACGGGCGCCACGTCGCCTAATGAGTGTGTTGCAAGCGCCCCGGCCGGTCCGGTCAGCTTTGGGGTGCCTGCCAGCTCTGGTTGATGACACATGGCCGCCCTTCCCCTGCTAGAGTATTTCTGCCAGCACTTCACGCACAAACCTCCGCCCCAAAAGGCCAAGCATCTGCTAGCATTGTGCCCAACGCATGCTGCACTTGTCGTGTGACGGCATCCACATCACCATATGGCGCGCGCTTTGCGTCAAAAACTGAGTCACCATGCTGCACAACCTGTGCATTGCTGTTGCAGTGCAGGCACATAATTGAGCCTCAACAATTGTTCATTCTGGCCACGCCCCTTCTCACCACTTTGGTGACTGCTGCTAGCCGCCTGGGAACAACACACCAAACCTCACACATCCGAATCGCCCCAGTTCAGTGCGAAAGTTACACGCCCCGCCTACACTCCCCGCCAAATGGTCCATGTTTGTGGCTTCGAACTTTTGTTGCAGCACAACAATACATGGCATAGGGGGAAAATGCAAGGGCGTCGCTGGCCCCCCACTTCATCCGATTCCTAGCCAAAATTCCTGTTGGGATGGGCAGGGGCCTGATTCAGGCCACATACAACACCTGGCTATGAGGCTATGCTCAATGCATCCAGACCGAGGGGCATGACCCCCCCTGCCTTGACACTGCAGTGCACGGGCCTGAATTGTTGAGGAGGCGTTGTGTCCTTTTGCACGTACACCAGCTGCACCTCCTCCGCCTCTGATGCCTGCTTTGCTCATCGCACCCCTTGCGTGTGGATTGGTGCGAGGCTGCACACCAGTTTGCTGCAAACCTGCTGCTCCCCACCACCTTTGCACACAATCTGTCCCCCCTTGTGGACTAATCTTTCGGCACGCCATCAGGGCAGCAAGGTACTGCGCGGCAGCAATGCGTGTTGATTACAATCGCACACAACAACCAGGAAACTTTCATAATAAACATAACATCGAGCTGTAATCTTGTCATGGAAGTGGAGGCTGCGAGGTTCAGGCCACGCCGCAAGCCGCCCGGTCACGGCCTGCGGCTGTACGTGCCAGCTGCCGTGCTGTGATTGTGGTCTTCTCAAAAGTGATGAACGCGCAGACAAAATCCTGGTCCTGCTGCAAAAGCAGGTGCGGGTCAGGCCACACCATTCCACATCCAGGTGGTCACAAGTGCGACGCTGACCTGGCACCAAGACTCGTGTGGCAGCACGCCATGGGACCAAGTTCAGTAGGGTGTGAGGTAGGTGCAGAGCCAATCAACGCTGCGCACTCTGGGGTGGCCAGCCTACATTGGTGCGGGAGCAGCAGGCGCCACGGCGCGAGGTGCGGCCAACTGCCGTGATTGCCGGGGAGGGCTGCCCGACCACACGCGACGGGTCCATGGCAGAAGCGACTGAACGATCACTTGGAACATTACGCGGGGAGCCAGGGCAAGGAGCCAGCCGCGCAAATGAGCCAAGCGCTGGTCGCATGCGCTGTCCTCAGCGGGTTGCATGGGATGGATGGCGGGCTGCGGGCGCGGCGGACCGCAGAGGGCGAGGGACGTGGGGTGGGGCTGGCAGGGAGCCTGCCATGTGCGGCGATGGAGCGGCGGCGGCTCGCTGACTGCATGGGTTCACCAAACCCTTTTCGGGCGAATGGGCGAACGAAACGCCACGCGAACGCGCAGTCCGGCCAGGTTGCAGGAGGTGCTACCGCGCACGAGGGGTGCGCCGTGGCGCGCTGTGCGCCTCCCGAGGTGTGGGTGCGGGGGCGGAGGTGGTGAGCGCGTCGTCAGGGCGTCCGTGCGTCGCCTCCGCCATGTGTGTGTGCACCAGCTGCGCGCACCGAGCGAGCACCCCCGCGCTCTCCGTCACCACTGCGACGCGCGAACCGCCATGGTTTACCCAACTGCTCACCTGCCGAAGGCGTTCGCCTGCGCACGCATCACCCATGGCCGCCTGCCTGTTGAGGCACCAGCGTCCACCGCATCACCGCATCGGCGCCGCCCTCCGGCCCCCTTGTCCCTGCAGCAGGCCCCGCAGCGCAGCAGCCGCCTCCAGCAACTCCCCCACTTCACATGCGTCCGCAGCAAACGCCAACCCCCGCCCGCCAGCTGCCCCAGCCGCCGCCGCGGCTGCTGCGGCCCGCGCCGCGGCCTGCTCTGCGAGCGCCGACAAGCACACAGAGGGCAGCCGCGGCGCGCCGCCGGGCGCGCCGCCGCCGCGGCCACTGTTGATGCTGGCATCCTGGTGTGCAACAACCACCTCCGCCAGGTCAGCCGCCAGGCCCGCCAGCTGCTTGGCCCCCAGCCGCCCGCCCCAGGGCTGCAGCACGAGCAGCAGCGCGCCCAGCCACCGCTCGCCAGCCGCGTGCCGGCGCGCCGCGAGCGCGGCCAGCAGCCGCAGCAGCGCCCAGGGCTGGAGGGTGGGCAGGCGGGCCAGCGTCGCGGCCTCGAACGCCGCCAGCCAGCCGTCCGGCAGCGGCCAGGGCTCGGCGCCTGCAGAGTCGCCCTGCTGCCTGCTCCCGCCGCCGCCGCTGCTGCCGGTGCTGCTGCCGCTGCTGCTGCCGCTGCTGCTGCTGCTGCCAGGATCACGGGCGCTGGCGACCAGGGCATCACACAGCAGCCCGAAGCTCTGATCTGACATTTGCCACTGGTTCGCCCTCAGCCCCTCCAGGCACGCCCTCCACACGGCCAGCCACGCGCGGCGCTCCTCCGCCGCCAGCGGCACGCCACGCATCGCGGCGCACGTGGCGGCGCCGCGCGCCGCCGCGGCCGGCGGCAGCGCGCCGGCTGCCGCGCACGAGATCAGGGCGCCGCGGGACCACGCCACCGCGGCCGCGCAGCCGCGTTGGGGCGCGCCGCCACTTTGGCCGCAGGCCAGCGCGACGCCGAGCAGCAGACGGGCGGCGGCAAGCGCCAGCTGTGAGGGTGGCTCCGCCCCGAAACCCTCGCCGCTCGTGGCGATGCTCCCGCCGGCGGCGCCCGGCGCCCCGCGTCCCCGCTGCCCGCGCGCCTGCCCGCCCTGCCCGCCTGCCACGGCTGCCGCCACCGCCGCCCACCATGAGTCCCCTGGCGGCGGCGCGGCGCGGCCGAGCGCGAGTGTCAGGCGGCCCAGCTGCTGCCGGGACAGGTGCCTCAGTCGGGGTCGCGTGTAGAAGTGGGCTTGGCGCAGCCAGCGGGGGCCAGGGGCGAAACCCAGGTCGGCCATGGCCTGCAAGGCTGCGGCCAGGCAAGGCGTCGGCAGCGCGCGCGCCGACATCAGCTCCGCCGCGCGGCGGCACCACGCCTGCCGGGGTTTTGAGGGGGCGTGCGGCGAGGTGCCCAGCCGGGCGGCAGGCGGACAGGCGTTACTTCAGAACATAACTCCATTCAGGCCCACGGGCAGCTGTCCATGGGGGCCGCAGCTTCATCCTAAAATCCTCAGGCTGATGGAGGGTTCAAAGCAGCAACGTTTGAAGGCAGCCGCCCCTTTCGCCACAACCCCAAATCCCGCCGCCCTAGCTGGTGTCCCGGCAGTGGGTCCCCATGCACTGCATGCTTCCAACCTAGCCGCCCGACCGCCCACCTGCCAGAACCCCTCATGCAGAACCCCGAGATCCCCCACGCGCCGCGCTAGCCCGGCGAGCCCCTGCGCCCCAAACCCCGCCAGCCGCGGCGCCAGCGACGCGCAGAGCGCCGCGACGGCGAGGTCGAACGCTGCACGCTCGTCTTCAGCGTCCAAAAATCCGAGCGCCACCGCCGCATCGTCCGCGACCGTCCACTGCCGCGCCGCCGCCGCCGCCCGCATGTGCCCGTTGCCACCGCTGCTGTTGCCGGCCGCCGAGGCTGCTTCGGCCGCCGCGGCCTGTGCGATGACGTCACCGGCGCGCCTGACTGGCGCGCGCTCGAGCCCCGCGCGCAGCGGCGGCGGCTGCAGCGCGACCATGCGGCGCGCCGCGACGACGGCGGTGAAGGCGTCGAGGCAGGGCAGCCACTTCCGGAGGGACTTGCGGTAGAGCGTCGTCCAGCGCCGCGCATGCGTGAAGCCCGAGCACACCTTGCGACGCAGCGCCGGCGTGCCCCGCAGGTGCGTTGCAGCTATGGAGGCGGCCGCCGCCGCCGCCACGCCCGTCCCCGCCGCTGCTGGGTCCGAGGCCGCACCCTCTCGATCAAACAACGGGCGGCGGCGCCGGGCCGCAAGCGGGGCGCCGCCGGCGTCGGCGGCGGCGGGGGCAGCGGGGGGCGCTAACGAGGTTTGGTTGGGCGGCGGCAGCCGGCCCTGCGCTACTGCCAGGTAGAACTTTGAGGGATTCGTTGGCAGGGTGGCATCGGGAGGGGTGCAGCGTCGGCGGCGATGTGCGGAGCAGAAGCAAGAACTGACGACGGAGGCAGCATGGGGCAGGCTGCAGCAGAGTTTCACTGTGCCGGGCGGCGAGCGCTCCCTTACACCAGCTCAACCGGATGCATGATGGCTACAGAGCGCTCGCCTACAGAGGAGGGGCGCAGCCGTGCCTCGGGCACACCTGCCGCGGCGTGGGCGGGGCCGGGCGCACGACGGGCGGCGCCGGCTCCCGCGCGGGCCGCTGCATGTCCTCCCGCCGCCCCAGGCCATACTTGCCACGCGGGCTGATGCGCGGCGTCTTGCGGGGGTTTTCTGGTTTGGGGCGCGCGGGGGTGCGCTGCCGCTGGGCCGGGGCGGACGGCCATGCTTGCAGCAAATCGTCCCCGGGCGGCTGTGCAAGGTGGGCGGGACAGCCGCAGATGTGCACATTCAGTGTCGCTTGCGGAAAAAGGGCAGGCGGTGTGTACCGTATTGCATGCATTTCATTGTGTTCATTGCATTGGTTCCTGCCGCTCAGGGGCGATTCAGAAAAACAAGCTTCAGGCAAGGGCAGCCCCCAAGCAGCAGGAGCAGCAGCAGCGGCAGCAGCAGCAGCGGCAGCAGCAGCAGCGGCAGCAGCAGCAGCGGCGAGTCAGCGTACCTGTGTGCGTGTGGAGGCTGTTGCGGTGTCGAGAGCACATGCCCAGATACAATATCCGCGTTTAAATCCAGTCATTGGCGGCCGGAAGGGCCTCATGATCACGTCTACCAAAACTTGGCTCGCTCAGATCAACGTATTATCTTATGCGCATCGCTGTGTATGCACATTCAATAAAATATGTGCGTTTGCCTAGCAAATGTAATATCATGCTAGCTGCCTTTGGCGCATATATGAAACAGATGACCTGGCCGGTTACGTGAAGTGACGCGCTGCAGCGGCTCAACATGCCAACATTCTATCAGAAGCCGAACCCACCCAGCGAAGTGGGTTCAGATGTTGTATTACATTTGAATCACCCTTGAGCCTGCAACCAGTGACAAGTATGAATTCTCCGCATGACTCAGCCTGCCGCTCTGCAAGCGGCCGGCCGTCACTGGAGACAGCCACCCGCACACGACGAGCATCGCAACCAGCAGTATGCACAAAGCATGTGGGCATCCCGACCATACGGTATGCATGGCTTGTGCACTCACGCTCACTGCACGCCTGAAAAGCATGTGCTGTTGGAGAAATGCAGAAGGTGAAACCCCGCCATCAGTGCTGTGCAGACCACACGCTAGGGAGCACCAAGATTACAGAAACACTTGGGCATACATACTCGACTGCATCCAAGGCTGGAAGAACAGGCTTGTCTGGACCACTACTATGGGTGGCTGAGGGGTGAGATCTTGGGCATCAACATGATTGCACACCTTCCGCATCACAAAATCGAGAATCTTGAATTCTCTGACACATCATCGTGACCGGACGACATGACAGGCACTTTGAAAAGTGCATGATGGGATGTATCAACGGCTTGTTGGCATAGACACAGTGAGGGTTGTATGCCGGTTGTGGTCCCTAGACCGTCAGACCCTGTGCAAACACGAGGCAGGTCTGCCGTTTATGTGAGTGTGAGGCCGCAAGCATGCGCACACCAGCGTACAAAACGGGAAAGAACATTGTTGGGAAGGATGAGCGTGGCCGTACGGCACCACGATATTGACATCACGCACGCATGAGATGATGGAAAAGAGCCTCTTTGGTTCGCACAGGCAGATGGAGTGTGCAGTGTGCTGCGCAGGCTGCCGGGG